ACTCCCCCCCCCCCCCCCCCTCGAGGTGATACAGCTGGGAGTTCTGGGGGAGATCTCCAGGTTCGGGAGCAAGCTGGGATACTGGTGCTGCCTCACACTGCTGGCTGGGGTTTGAGTCCTTGTCGGCACCGGCGCGTCTCAGTTTGCAGCAGAGGCAGCTGTGATGTGTTTTTGCTCTTGCCATCTGAGCAGTGTCGAGGGCTATATATCGAGGGCTTTTCAGCTGCTAAAATATAAAGACATGCGATTTGGGCTTGAAAGTACACTTCCACCCACATCATGAATAGCAAGCGTGATTGTTTGTCCCTGTGCCCTTTCTGGTGTCTCCTCTCAAGGTCCTTTTTTTGTTGTTCAGGTATCTAGGCCAGGATCTAGTCGCCTTTGGTGGGCGTGGTGTTTCTGATGCGTGGAACAAGAAGCGCCCCCAAGGCACTCTGTGGGACTCTTGTCTTCACTGATCTGAATTTAGGCCTGCAAAACTAGTGCTCAGAGAAGCTAGGAATGAGGCCAGTGATCTGGCTCAAGGGCCTTCTACTATGGGAAAATGTGTATCGCGTCTTAGCGTTTCTCACCAATCTTCAGTTCACTTATTGCCTGTTTCAAAAATGAATCTCTTTTTCGTTATCTCGTTACTCCTCATCTCCTCCTGAGCTGCATGGGTAGGAAGAAGCAGTTCTACCTGGGCTGTGAGACGTGTTGGGAAGAAAACTTAGGACATCTCAGACTGAATTGCAGGTACTGAGGGAGGCAGCAAAAAAACGGGTGCCGCTCTACAGGATGCTGGGGAACCATGGCCTCGTGACTCATTTATGACAAAGGATTAGCTCACATATAATGTCTGCAACTCCATTGTTTGCCTTCAGAGTAGCGGTTAGAGTTTAATTCCCCAAGATTGACATGAAATTGCTCAAGCTACTTCATGCTCTTCTACTCAGAATTGGGGAAAAAGATTTTTGGAAACTGACACAAGTGGCATCCCACTCATCTAACATCAGGCCTGGTGTCTACGCTAGTTGTTGAGGCACTATCTGTAGTCAGAGGAGAGGGAGAGAGAGGGGTGCATCTGGAGAGCAGCCCATCCTTGTTTTAGTTAGGTGCATCTTTCACTGTGTTGATTACAGAGAGAACCTACATGCTTAACTTGGGTTAGGCAGCTACTGTTAAGTGAAGCAAATTCTTCCTTTAGCGGTTAAAGAGTTGGCTGCTTCTGAAAGCTTCACCCGCGGGACTCCTACTGATGGAAATTCTGGCTTTACAGTTGAATTGAGAAGACACTTTGGCATATCGAAGAGAACCCGTACAAAACTGGATGTATTAAACAGGGGATCTGGGGACCCTGCACAGCTTGACGGAGAGTTATATCATGGTCCTGGCCTGCTTAGTACTGGCTATGAGAAGTATATGGGCTCTTCCTCTTTTTGCAGAAGTTAAGAATGACAAGGAGTTAGCAGGTGATGGAAAGCAGTGTCCCAGTTATGTAGCATCACCACTAACAGGATGGTAGCG